TAAAACAAATCACAGACCATTTGAAAGTTAATTTTTTTTTTGGAAAAAAGTCTCATACTGAGAGAAAAATCCATAACCTTCTTTTTTTTTTAAGTATTCTTACAGGCTACTGTGTAGGTGTGGAAGTGTAACTGATTGTATTATCAATCTAAAAAATAATAATGAAAATAAATGGACACAATTTTTTTTTTCTGGAAAGTACAAAAAGAACAAATCAAACAAAATAAGCCATTTTTTTTTTTTAATAAAGGTCAAACAAAAATGTATGAATTAAAACAAAATTTTTTTTTTAACTGAAATCAACTAACCAAAACACTAAGAATGAGACAGATAAAAAATATTCTTATGCAGAGATTTAAAAACATCCATGAGATAATTTGATTTTTTTTTTTAAAATCTAGAATAGACTTTATAGGAATATAACCAAAACTTTTTTTTTTTGAAAACTTGAAAATATAGAAATATCTTCACAAAAAAGGCTTTTTTTTTTTATGGCAATGAAGGTAGAACTCGCCAAACTTGCATAGATAATTTTTTTTTTATGTACAGTAGTCCCTGCTTACCGACGGTGGATATGTTCACAGACCCCCACTGGATGCCTGAAAACCTGGATAGTACCGAGCCCTATGTTTTTTTTTTTTGATAACCAAGACCCTAATGGGCAGGTAGTGTACACAGCATTTTTTTTTTTGGCACAGGATGATCCACGTCCTAGATGAGATGCAGTGAGCACAACAGCTTGAGATTTCATTACACTATTCAGAATGGTGAACAATCTAAATTTTTTTTTTTGTTTTGGGAATTTTCCATTTAATATTTTCAGACTACAGTTTTTTTTTTTTAACTGAAACTGCAGAAAGCGAAACTGAAAATAAGGGGGATTTTTTTTTTACTGATCCAGAGTATAGAAAAAAATGATGGAAAGCATCCCTTTTTTTTTTAAGGTGTAAGCATAATCTGGAAACTAAAACCACAACTTTATTTTTTTTTTCATAAACCCAAGGCCTCTGGACTGAATCTGGCCTGAAAAATTTTTTTTTTCTATACAAAGTTTTAAAGATTAAGATAATTTAGATTTGGGTTTTTTTTTTTAAAATTAGCAATTTCCAGCTCTATACAGAGAAAGGTCAGTTTTTTTTTTCCTGGGCTCCATTCTTGCACCGCAAAAACAGCCTGGAGCTTTTTTTTTTTTGCTCCCAGGCTGCCATGTTGCGCAATGTGTGTGTGTGTGTTTTTTTTTTTGTGTGTTGGGGGGTGTGCGGTGCTGAATGCTCATGGGTTTTTTTTTTTTTGTGCCTGGCCCTATGTCAACAGAATCGCCATTTGTCACCTTTTTTTTTTCTCCTTATCACTTCCTAATTCTGGACCAAATGCAGGTTGCCATTTGTGCTTAGGCTGTTATTTTCCTCAATGTAAATATTTCTACCTCTATCAAAAAAACAAAATAAAATAAATTGATGGATTCATGATTTTGCTTTCTATTTTTTTTTTTTGGCTGATTCAATTTCTTGCCTGGCTTCTGTTGGCACTGTTTTTTTTTTCCTGCTTTACGATTTCTATCTTTGGTTTCCCCACATCAGATTTTTTTTTTACCCACTTATATTCTCTTTCATTTGCGTAGTTTTGTACCTTAAATTTAAATGTTTAATCCATCTTGAATTTATGGCATGGAAAAAAAACCTTTTTTTTTTTTATCAATTTAGTCAACTATTCCAACAGCATTTATAAAATTTTTTTTTTTCTGTCTTAAAGTTCTACCTTTTTCAGAGTCACTTTTTTTTTTTTTTTTTTGTTTTTGAGGAAAGGGACTCCCTGGCTCCTGTCTTCCCCAAAGGCTCTAAGTGCATGGCGCCATCTCAGCCCTCACTGCAACCTCCACCATCCGGGGGTTTCAACTGATTCTCCTGCCCCACATCCCCAGTAGCTGGGACTACAAGCATGTGCCACCACACCCAACTAATTCTTTTTGTATTTAAATACATACATTACATTAAATCAGCATAACACACGGCCGGGCGCGGTGGAGCTCAAGCCTGCTAATCCCAGCACTTTGGGAGTGGCCGACGACGGGCGGATC